CATTAATAGATAAAGAAAAAATAAGAAGTTACACAATAGGGAGCCTGCAAGTAGGCCCAGATTTCCAAAACCTCAACTGCTCAGATTGTTTCATAGCTTTTCTCAATATCCGGATGTGTTAGAGTTCCCTAAGGACCTCAAGGGATCCTAGGCAGTGCTCACACTCAGATTTCACAACCATATTTGAGTAAGTGCAGTGTGGAAGGGCCAGCTCTAATGCATCAGAGTTCAGAGGGATCTCATAGGGATCCCTAAGCAGTCACACATTAGAGGGGCAGAACTTAGGGATCTAAGAAAAGAGTGAGAGTGATTGACATAGTTTTGAAAAAAAGTTGAAGTAGGAAAACAATTTGAAAAGAGACTTGAAAATAGTTTTTTAAAACAACAGAGGAGTTATTCAATAAGACAGTTTTGAAAAGAGTAGGGCAATCAACAAATAACAGACCAACCTCAGAACCAAAACAGGTTCAGCATCACACATAGAACAAAGAGCTAAGACAGGTTTAGCACCACAAGCCTTCACAAAGGAGTAAATGGGAATTGGGGACAGGTAAAACACATAATGGTAAACACATAGCAGGCAGAAGTCTTTGGAATTGGTATAGATATGCTCAGATATACTGATTAGACATAGTCACAGAATCAGCAATGCTTAAGGGGTTCAGTATAGGATCAACATAATTTAAAATCAATCCCAGAATTATACAAGTTTAGGAGTGTAGACTACTTTACAAGGAGATTCATACCAGAAACCAGATAGAGCAAAATCACATGTAGACAGACTACATAGAGAGGGGTAACATGTTCATACTGATCCTAACGAAGGGGAGTACATAACATGCTAATAATGTAAACATATTAACTACAGGTTTCACAGCAAAACCATAAGTAAAAGCAGACTAGAAACAGGATGAATTGAAGTAATAAAAGGACCATATTATTTTTGGAACTTGAATTGAAATCAGAACATACCAGTAAAGAAGGTAGTAAACACAAAGTGAGGAGCAAGAGAGTAGAGTAATCAGCCTTGGCTTGCAGCCGGCTGACTTAGAACAATAACAAGTAACCAGAGAAAAGAGAGCAGAATAAAGTTTTTGTGTGAGAGAGAGTTTTTGAACCAATGTGTTCGTGTCTTTGTGCTAATGAAAGAGCAAGGTACTTATAGTTTGAAAACAGGTAGAAAATAAGGCAAGAATCATAGTTCAACAGTAATTATGGAACTATGTACTAATTAGAATCAAATCAGTATAAGTACTTCCTTTAATTAAGGAGTTAAATTTAAACAGTAACAGGAAAATACTAAATAAGAAAGGAAATCACATAAGGCTGAATATAACAAATAAGGAAATATTTTCAGCATAGTACAAAGTACACAACATGTAATAGAGACTAGGTTCAGCAGATTCTAATCAAGGAAAATACTTAGGAATCGGTTGGCAGCATGCTCGACTATAGATTAAGGTAAGAAAATATCTTAAAGGTTAAAATCAGTAGAGAATATCACAAGAAATCAGTGGAGGATCAGTCACACAGATTCAAAGATTCAAAAATAGCAAATAGTACTGATTTAGGAGAATTTGACACAAATTTATGAGAACGAGCAAAATAAACACATAATAGGCAAGAATCAGAAACCCTAATGAGCCAAATAGGGTAAAATCACACAAAATTAGGGTGATTCACATAGAGCATAGCATGAATTAATAGAATAAACATGACATAGGCAAAAGAAGTAAAAATCAGAGACACTGATGAATAAAATAGGGTAAAACCACAGAGAATCATAAGGCTCATGAGAAACAAGCACATATACAGATTAAGCGAACATATTATCACAAAACAGACTCCGAATCAAGGATTAAAACTAAGAAACTTAGGGTTTTCAAAATAATAAATCATATAAAAAGAGAAAACTCAAATAAACGTTTAAACATAGTGAAAATCATAGATTAATACTAAAATCAGAAGAAAAAGTCATTTTGGAAAGGGGTTAAGAAACCCTGGTTTGAAGATGAAGAGTCATTTTAGAAAAATCGAAAAAGATTTAAAGAAAACAGCAAAATAACTCGGAATATACCCAAATCTATTACAGATCTAAGAAATCAAGAGCTAATACTTAGGGTTTCAGAGAGATAACCCAAAGAGAAAGAGAATCGGCCTAGAAACCACAGGTTCTAGCCGTAGATGGCAGGATCTTACTCGGACAGGCCAAGATTGGCCTGAGAATGACATGAAAAACCATGGAGGTGAGTTGAACCGCCTCTGGTTTCTTTGAGGACCTCAAAGCAGCAGTAACCCTGCGTAAGAAGGAGCCATGAGGGTTGGGATGGTGGTGAGACCACCATAGTTACCGGCAAGTCGATGACCGGTGAGAGCTTTAGGTATTAGCAGAGAGAATTTGAGAGGTGAAGGGAGAGTGTAACGGCGAAGTGAAAGAGAGAAATGAGGGGGAAGGGGGGTAGTCTCTAGGGTTAATTAAGGAAAAAGGGAGATCTGGACCGTTGATTAAAATTGATCAATGGTCCAGATTAGACAAAGGATTAGGTCGGGTAGGATAAGGTACTGGGCCTAGGATATTTGGGCCGTTCTAATTAGGTTGGGGTCTGATTTAATTAGGCTATAATTGAAATAAAAGTGGCTATTTGTTAAATACCCAATGTAAATTAATTAAAATAATTTACAAAAAATAGCTGTTAATTATAAAAATAAATTTCATGCATAGAAAATAATTTAAAAATGTTTATTTAGTATTTAAAAAATACACATGATTAATTTCTGGATGAAAATAGTACAAAATCATATGATTGGGCTATAATTGCAAAGTTATTACAATTATAGCCAAAATATGCCAATTTGGCTAATTATGAAATAATTTGGTCTTAATAGGACCAAAAATAATACATTACATCAAGAAATGCTTTTGAAATCATTTGTGAGGTAATTTTGTAATTATTTCTTGGAAATAAAATGCTGGATAAATTAATAAAAATATTGGAAATTTGTGGAAAAATATCAGTTGCTAATCAATGCACGATTTTGAAGACATATATGCAATTTGAAATTTTTTTTTGAAAAAAATTGGGTATCAACACGCACCTCTGAGAATAATCAAAATTCTCTGGAAGGGGGTTCAGCATTTTTATCCGAATCGGCTTCAACATGCCCAATTGTCTCAATCTTTGGAACAAACTGGCATATGATCCTCCAATAGGAGTGAAAGACTTTTCTCTTTGTTGTTGCCTTTTCATTTTGTATTCCGGCCTCGACTGGAACTTCTTGCGGGCAGGTGGTTGATATGCTTGTAGAGGTGGGTAAGACATTTGTGGAGACGGTGCAAGCCATTGCAGGTCTTGTGGATGTGGAGTATATGGCGGTGCATTGTGGATGAAGTACTAGGAAAGTGAGGTATGACTTTGGGAATTTTGTGGAAAGAAGTAGCATTGGGGAGGATTATCTAGAGTATGAGGATATTCATGGGGTCGATATTGAGGCTGAAAACGTTGAGCCGGAACGCCCACTGGATCCTGTCGTTGGCGGGACTCAGCAACATCTTTTCTATCAATCGGAGGACGGACCCGAGCAACTTGTTCGTTCCATCTGAGCCAAAACTCCCTAAATCTTTCCTCGGGTTTCTTTTTCGTCTGAGATAGGGAGGAGCGGTCTAGGATAATGTCTACATTGTATTGATAGTGCCGAACAAAATCTTGAGCCATGTCACCCCATGCAAGCCATTTACTGACATTTTGACGAGTATACCACTCCAAGTCTTCCCCACTCAAACTCTCACTGAAATATGCCATCAACAATTCATCTTTCCGCAAACACTTCTCATTTTACTGAAATAACCCCTCAAATGGGCTACTGGATCTCCACGCCTATCACACAAATCAAACTTTGGCATCTTAAACCCAGCAGGCAGTTGGATATCAGGAAACAAGCACAAGTCTTTGTAAGGCATGCTCACCTGGCTCTCTATCCCTTGCATGTTTCTTAAAGACTGCTCTAAGATTTTCACTTTTCTGGATATCTCATATTGCTCCACTGTCTTAGTAGGCTTTTCAATTTCACCAGGAGGATCAAAATTAGGAGAGTAAAAGTATAGATCCGAGACCTTGAAAGTTGGTTCTCGAGCATAGTGTTGGGCATCGGGGACTTTGAACACAGTCTCGCTAGAGGATCGAGGAAGAATAGCTGGTGGAGAAGCTACAAAAACATGAGTGGTAAAAGGAGCGTGATATGAGGTGGTTTTGGCGGGTGGAGTGTGAAAAGGTTGTAGGGAATATCAGCAGCAGTGGGAATCTAGATTTGTGACAGTGGAGGAATGGTGACAAGGCTTTTAGTGTAGTTAGTGGGAACTGATGGTGGAGGACGCCCACTAATCCAGGCTTGGTATATTTCGGCCATCTGTCCTTTCAACCTTCAGACCTCTTCTTTCAACTAAGATTCTGATTCAACAATCTCCTTAGACGGATCAATAACACCTGTGTCCAAGTCTTTACTAGTCGTGGCTACCTTGCTCTTTGACCTTGTGTTGTATGAAAGAGTTACCGGTTTAAGAACCACAAACAAACCACCCTTCTGCTATAATGAGGATAACAAAGACGAACAAAATGAAGTCATCATATTAGCGTTAGGACATTTAACAGCTAAAATATCACATTGTGTGCAATGCACCTAACAACAATTAACGGTTCAAGAATGACTTCGAGGGTCACAAGGTCACTTGGCATCATCCCAATTTATTCATTTCAATCTTCTCTTTTTTTTCTAGCACTTCTTGGCTTGCTCATTTCCCTTCCTCTTTTTTTCTAATTATCACTCTTTTCTTTCCTCTCATTTCTCACTTACCATAATTTCATCTTTTCTTGTTTCCTTTTTTCTTTTTCTTTTAATTTTTTTAAAAAAATGATTTGATCGAACCCTATGTAGGTTGCCTACGTATCATGTCCCTCGTGAATCAGACCAAGCATAGTTCTAGAAAAGTAATGGATAAATTAAACTAAAAAATAAAAATCTTTTTGGATTATTCATTTACAATTTTTTTTTGAATACAGAATCGGAAATACGATAATAAGCGACTCGACAAACTTACCTAGACTATGATAGATTCTGACACCACCTAAAAGACTCAGTACTATTAGAAAGGACTAGAAAGTAAAAGACAACATAAAAGGAAGGCAGACTCAAAACATTAAAAAAAATATCCTTAAGCAGCTCCTGAATGCAACGGTCCTAACTGGATGGTCCCGGGGTATCTGTCATGCACAAGCTCTGGTAAGTAGATGCACACCTGTATGAGAAAAATGAGACCAAATAGAGTTAAAGACTTAGAACACTATGTGAGACAATAAAATTTCCAACTGGACACATGCAGGACCCAATTGAAGCTATTTTTGCAAAATGGTATATGTGGCCAAAAGGTGGCTAGAAGTGAAAACTCAACAAAAATGACCTCTAAGACATGAAACAATTACTTTGCAGAAATGACCCATTTTGTAGAAATGGCCTATTACATGCAAATTCGACAAGGATGGGCTTTAAAGTAAAGAGACACCTAATTGTGGATTCAAGACTCTCCAGACAATTAAACAAACAACTTTGCAAAAATAGCCATATTTTACAAAATGACCGATGTGGCCAAAAGTGGATAGACATGCAAGATTTGGCTACAACCCTCGAAGCCAAGAACTTAAGACTCACTAGGAAGACGAGGAAGACCGGACCCTATGTGGGCTGCCTACGTATCCCGCTCCGAAAGACGAGAACCAGGTATGCTTAGTTCGAGAAAATTGGATACGGGCGAGAATTAAAAAAACTAATTTAGAAAAAATATATTTTTATCTTCTTCTTTTTTTTGAAAAAATGATGAAACATGTAAACTCTTTTTGGATTTTCTGTTTCCTTTTTTTTGAATTTTTTTTTTGGAAAATGAAGGGAAAATGCAAAATCTTTTTGGATTTTTCATTTTTTGTCTTTTTCTTAACAAAAATGTGAAAGAAAAATATAATTGGCCCTACTTGATTCATTTTTACACTTCACCCTCTTCTCTTTCTCATTTACCCTCGGCCAGCATTGGTCCGCCAATTGACCCCTTTTACCCTTAAAGATTGCAGCATATAGCACATAGGATGCATCGGGATGGTCTTTTATTTTTGGGTACACCTGTCCTAGACGAACCCAACCCCTGTGTTGAGTCCCCAGAGTCAAAATGCACGTGATGCAAACAAGCGTTCCTACTAGGGATCCGGCATGAGGCTATATTATTCTAGATTTAAAAACCTGGGTGTATTGTTCTAGACCTGGCTTACCCGAGTGGACAACTCGAGCCGAGGGGGGCAGCGTACCGGTAACCAAAAGATCATCTGGTTTTGTAACTTGTCAGAACCTCGTTCTAAATTGGGATATAACACTAACAGAAAAGAAGTCACGTCAGTGTGAACTTCCCAGAAGATTAGAAGAGAAGGGTTTCACGGCAGATTATATATAGTTCAAATAATATCAAAGCGGTAAAAAGCGGCATTTAGCACATTAGGCCCAAGCATGTAATAAAAATCAGATAATAAATAAAAGCCAAATATAACAATTATTCTAAGCTTGAATTCTTGAATCCTGAACCAAAGATTCTGGGTTCTTGTCCCCAGCAGAGTCGTCAGAGCTGTCATACCTTCTTTTTCTACCCGAAAGGCTATAAGAGAGGTTTTTTAATTAAAGTGACAATAATCGAAATGGGATTATTCATTCAAATTCAGAGTCCCCACTTGGGGTAATTTATGGTGTCCCAAGTCACCAGTTTAAAATCTCGAATCAAGGAAGTTTGACTCTGTTTTACAGTCCGCGAAACACAGAAATCCGGGTAAGGAATTTTGTTAATCCGGAAGAAGGTGTTAGGCATTCCCGGGTTCCGTGGTTTTAGCACGGTCGCTCAACAATTATTATTGTCCTAATTATCTGATTAATTACATATTTTATACCTATTGTGTATTTTTAATCTTTAACCGCTTTTGATTATTTATGGCATTATTCTGGAACAAGTTACAATTGTCGTACACTTGTTTGTTTGGTACACATTGAGAATTGTGTCACGGGAACCGTACCCACGATCTACAACATGTTTAATTTATTAACATTATTAGAAATTGTGGCCGGATCACATAAATGTACCCCCGGATTTGGAAATTATGTATCACAACTACGTCACGGGAACCATACCCGTAGCTATGATAATTTTTATTATAGCGCGCCTGAAGCAAACTACGAAGGTTCATAAATATTAACGGCCTAATTATGCTCTTAGCGAACCTAGTAATTAAAATAAGACGAGAATAATAAAATCTTTTTTATGCCCAAATTCATTCTCGTTACTAACAAAACCCAAAATCCAACTTCAATTTCATTTAAAAATCAACCTACAATGTTGTTAACTGCCAGATTAAAAGAAGCAAGTAAAAAATAATAAAAATTTTCTTTAAAAAAATATCGACTCATTTAACTTTGAATTCTCTGCCATGGACAGTTTGTCCCAAGAAACCAAAATCTCTCTTTTGCTTTCAAATCCAAACATTATCATAGCTTAACCAAACAGATCATACTCAATAAAATTCCAACCATTTGCAATCACATTTTTCATAAACTAATTAATTCATGTCTTCTCACGAATAACGCATCAATGAAGATTTTAACATAAATAAACCAAATGAAGAAAGTTTTAGACAAACAGCGAAACAACAAAAAGATTACACGGCGTTCATAGTCATGGAAGATTAATAGAGAGGAGAATTAAAAATCAAAGAAGGAAATTAACCTTAAAGAGTGACAGTCTTTCAATTGCAGTAGCCGCACATGAGTGAAAAACCAGACCGAAACCCCGACGGAAAACAAAAATTCGAACTTAAAATTATAGTCGCATGGGTGACCACATTAGAGCTGGATCTGCATCTAGTTGCAACGGAGGTCTAAAGGAAAATTTTGCTCTATTTTGGTGGCTGAAAACGTCGCTACCTCCGTCGAACGCCGAAATCCGGCCACTGTAACATTGTTTTTTCTAGAAGAGGAAAATGTGGCGCTGAAGCTTTTTTATTTGAAGAAGCCTGGCCACTGCTAGCTCTTAGGGATCCGCCATTTTTGGGTTGAAGATGGGGGAGTGTGGGAATTGGTTGGTCGAAGGCAGCGGCGCTGTTGGGTCTTGGAAGATAGAGATGGGAGGGTCGTTTTTTGTGAGGTCAAGAGGTAGCCGATGATCTCTTCTTTAGGGGTTGATCGTTGGTGTCATGAAGAGGGGCGGATGGTCATGGATTTCAGGCGCGAGGGTGGTGGCTGATGGGAGGTGTTTGGGTTCTAGGTTTTTTTTTTTTTTTTT